CACCAAGCACTAGTTAGGTGCTCTTTAAGATCCAGTCGCAGATATGAAGCACTTCTAACAAGAAGCCTTCTGAGACAAACACCTTTTGTCTAGTAAATGATGAGCCTAGGGGCTGCCTAGCTTCTGGCACTATTTCCGAAAACAGTTTCCCCTCTTCACATGCATTAAACACCGTCCTTGGCACCAGGCGAGCCACTAATCCCTAATCCCAAGCACTTTTTGCTAGAAAAACTTTGAGTCATTTCCTTTCTACTTCCTCTTGTATCCTGTCTGTAGCCTCTCCATCAGATAAGTAACTGGTGAAGCGGTGACAGAGAAAGAAAGGTAGAGAGGGCATGAGAAAAGGGCAGCTAGGAAACTAACTGGTATCACTGGAAGGCAAGGGTCCCCAGCAGTGCTGAAAGATGGGATTCTTTAATGTCTTAGAAAACATTGTTACGTAGGTTCTCTTTCATGGTCTTAGTCAAAGTGACATAGATTTATCTACGCTCTGTGGAGGGCAGGTATCTTTTTCTGTAATCGTGCATAGTGCCTCATAACCTTGTCATCTGTGGGTCTGCTTCAGGAAATGAAGCTGCTTTGAGTTCATCGCATGGGTAGCTGGTCTGTATTATTAATATGGAAGAGCGAGCATGCATAATTTAGCATCTTGCAGGAAGAAAACTGACCCCTCCGTCTTGCCCCAGCCCTTTTCTTGTTCTAGGTGCAGTTGCCTTTTTCCCCTTCCATGGCCGTGTGTAGAAAACTGGGCAAGACTGCTGTAGTCAGCTGTGTGAAAAGGAGTGGGTGAAATTATGGTCTTCAGAGAGTATATCCTACAGCTGCAGAATTCAACCATGCAAGCTTGGCAGCTAAAATAAAAGCACCAGCTGAGCCAAGAAGGGCTTTGGATATGTTTGACTGTCTTCCCTCCAAAAACCTAAGGATGCAGATATACAACAACAGACAAAAAAAGAATCAACTAGGAGGCCCAAGGGAGAAAGGGAATTGGATAAAACAAACTTTTAAAAAGTTTCCAGAGGTACTATAGCAATGGTCACATGACTTTTCTTGCCCAGTATCTCCGCTAGAATTTGCAGCTGTTTGAGAATTTCCTCAGAACTATCTAACACTTCACTCAAGAGCCTTTTTTAGCCTGGTGCCTTCCAGATGTTTCAGTCTAAAATGGGAAAAGCAAGTTGCCTGGTGCCAACAGCCATGTGGGCTGGGGATGATGGAAGCTGCCCTGAGTTGGGAAGGACTTGAGTTCTAAAGCAAGCTTTCCTCTAGGAGGAAAAGGACAGGGGAGCCCCATGCCTTGCAGCACCTTCATGATTGCAGAGAAGTTGGAAGCAGCATGCCACTTGGCCGTTCTGAGGCGAGAAAGCAAGAATGTTCCCAGATATACACAGTAGGGCCGCTTTAGCAGTCCTGGAACATGCGTTCTCAATCTCTGTTCTGCTCAGAGGAGCACCTTGACCCAAGTACAACCAAAGGCTCATCCAGCACTGCAGAGTCTCCCCAGGTTCTTTCTAGTGTCTCAGGCTTAGAACACCAGATAAAACTACCTGGGGTCTTTTACCTGAAAAGAGCAGGGGAACTCCCTCTCCATGCAAAGAATGTGACACCCAGAGAAGCTATCAATTTGGTGGGGTGCAGAATGATACCACGAGCACAGAATTCCAAAAAGCAAGCTTTTAGTTCTGATGCCAGTGAAGATGTGCTTGAACATGTATCCAGTGTCATAGACAAGGAAGGTGCCTATCACTGAATTATAAAAAATGCCTATTATGCAAAAATACCCAGAATTATGCACAATAAGAATGGCATATACATGCATAATTGATCCAGGTCACAATCCAACATTTCTTGACACAGGATACAGATGGCCTAGATACAGAATGTTAACCTTTACCGTGAGGTTATCTCACCCTGGCCTAGATCCGCCTTCAGTTTCAGGTGCAGCAGCACTGCTTATTCCAGGGAAGACCAGGCCCATAATGATCGACAGCCGTGCAGTATTCCTGCAAGGATATGCCCATGCCCACCGCCAGCCATATGGGCTAGCATTAATCTCCCTTGCTACCCTTAAGTCAGTTGCTGGATCTTCGCCACATACAGTAAAAAATAAACCGGGGAAGAAGACTTTGGCAAGCGGGGTGCTAATATAGCTTTCCCCTCAAGGATTCTTAAGTCCATGGCTGCTCTGCAGTACTAACCATCCCTTGCCGTTGTGCATGCTCCCTTCGCTGGGAAAAAACAGTCCACAAGGGATGCGGAATGCACGGCCCTCCGGATGCTGCACTACAGCTCTTATCATCCTTCACCACTGGCTAGGGCTGATGGGCACTGCAGTCCAACCGTGGGCCTCACATTCTCCATCGCTGCAGTCAACGCTCAAGTAGTGTCAGCAGCCCCTTTTTGTCCCGCGGAGAGAACGAGCACAGCATACATCTTCGTGTATGTTCAGATTGCTTAGAGCTCAATGTTTATCATTACGGGCTTATATTTTTAGCCATGGCTTGCCTTTTAATCTCTTGACGTAGAACCTCACATGGCACCAAATGCTGACAGCAGATATATCAGGTTGGCTCCAAGCAGTTCAGGAGCTATTTATGCAGCTGTAAGCCAGCTAATCATCAAGCCTTCTATTAACATCCTAGGATATGCAAAGGCTGACATATCGCCACTCAAAGAGGATGTGCAAGTAACAGGTCGGATACCATGCGACTATAGGTGGCGTCTATATTTTTACCCTGTAATAAGATAACAGACCAACAGGTGTTACCTCCTGTCAGGAAGGGACTGTCCCTGTCTGCATAGTGACTTCTCAGCAGACGAAACACCTGCACAATAGAAACCTGCATAGCCTCTTCACCAAGAGGAGCTGATCAAGAGCTCTTATGCTTGCGCTGCCTGCTTCTCATTCCAAGAGCCAACATGGAACGTACAGGGCCTATTGCATCAGACCTAATTCCCATCTGATCTGTTTCCCACAGTGGCCAGCCAGGCTTTAAAGGCCTAGAAGCAGCCAGCGACCTGTTCATGCACCACCATGAGGTATCCACTGCCTCTAAACTCAAAGGTTCCATTTCATTTTCATAGCTAATCGGAAAACCATGATCTCCATGCGCCAAGTTAGTTCCCTTTCCCTAAACATTCCAAAAATGTTGCCTGGGTTGACTGTATTGCTGTAATCTTCTTATTTAAAGTGTTCATATCTATTTTTACTTCATTAAATTCTAGAATGAATTACGCTAAGAATTAAAAAACTATCACACACACACACACATGCATGTATCTCAAAGCCAGAGTAAAAGTAGCAGATAAGCTTCTAACACTGCTAAAAAGATTTTAACCTAGCACTGAAGGGAGAGCAGTACAGCCTTTCTTAGGGACATCGTTTCATAACTGGGTTTTTTGCTCCCTGTTGACATCCAGCTAACCTCAAACGATGCAGGCACAGGGAGCAAAGTTTCAGGAGATGATCTTAAAAGTGTGGCTTGGTCAACATAGGAGTAAATCATTAATGGAGGCCAAATTGAAGCCAAACTTTCTTTTTACATTTGAAGCAATTAACAGTCCTCGTGTTCACCACAGAGTAAGTTTCATACAGGAAAAAATGGTGACATCTGCAAATGTTAATGTTGTGTGCAAAACTGTAGCTAGAGCTGGAAAGGTGAAAGCAAAACAGATCTTTTGGCTTTGTAGTTTGGGGTTCGACCAGACCGGGGCTGAAGATGTAACATGGAGATGAGGAGCAGTTTGGGAGAGCGTTATGCAGGGCTGCGGGTGCATGGGCGGCGTTGACGGGGCTGCCAGAAGGCGAAGCCACGCATTTGCCCGGAGAGGCCAGTGGGAAAGGGCTGCCTGGCTGGCGTGCTGCATGAACCAGTGTGTGGGTGGCTGATTGCAAAATGCTGCCTAGAGCAAAGTGCTTCTCTAATGCTGCCAGCAACTGACTCAACTGAGTGCTGACATACTGGGGGGGGGGGGGAGAGGGAGGAATCAGGGGCACGAGTTGCAGAGTTCTGCAGCTACAGCCAGAGTGCCGACGCAGAAGCCGCAGGAAGCAGAGCGACAGATGAAACTACCTTACACAGACTCGTGCCGTTTGTTCAGCTAGCCCACTGCTATGCTCTCTAACAGGGCGTGGGAGTCCTAGTTTAGTGCTATAAAACAAGGGCAGAGTTCCAGAGGTGAGCTGGGGTGCAACGCCTTGCTTCTTCCAGGGCTCTCTCTTGAACACACGAATTCTCAAACCACGCAGTAAAGCTCAGGAGCGGGACAGAGGCAGGTCTGAAAAAAACATCGGCCAAATCCACAATTCTGTGCCTGGAGACGGCCCTCAGAGCCCCGCTCTGTCAAGATATGGGAAGCCTCTGAACAAGGAACGGAGCTCAGATTTGCTGGGATACCCTGACAAAAGCTGTTCCACCAGTAACGGGAGAACCCTGGAGGGCATCTCTGCCATGCAGAAAGCAAGGCCTAGCCCTCAACTCCTGACAGAAGGGATAATGGGGGCGGGGGTGGGGGGCAGATGCTGAGAGGACTGTTTGCCAATCCCCAGCTATATGTAGGCAACCTCAAGCCCTCTAGAGCTCTTGGACTACCACTCCCCTAATCCCCGACTATTGGCCTTGCTGGCTCAGGCTGATGAAAGCCGTAATAAAACACATTGGGTGGGGACCAGGCTGCTTACCTTGCTCTAGGGACAACTAAGGAACACCTGGGCATTGAACCCAAACAGCCTTCAACTTTAATCCAGGGAAAAAACCCAAGAACGGTGTCTGGCTTCTGAGGACTGGTAGGTATCACCTTGAGCCCCTGCTGAGCAAGAGCCATAGAAGAAGAGAGCTGCTGAAAACTGGAATGGTTTGGGGATGCTTGGTTTTGATTACAAGGAGAGGAGGGGGGGAGGGTCGAAATGTCTATGCTAAGGTCGTGTCGCTGGCATTAAGGACTTTAAGCTAAAGATGCTGCCATTTTTATTATCTGGGTTCCAAGCCCTTTTGTCCCACCTTTTGCTGAACTGTGGCCCCTGGAAAGCTTCCTCTGGTTGAAAGATTTCAGCATTTGCTCTGATAACAAGTCAAGAAAATCCAGGCATCTCTGATAAAAAAAAAAAAAAACAGCTTTTGAGGTCTCTTGAGAGGTTTAGCAACTCCCATGACCCTTGCACCACCAGGAACAATACATGTTTCAGGGGAAGCCCCTTTTCAGTATTCTGATCTTACTGTCTCTGCTGAGAAGAGGTTTGTAAATGTTCTTCTCAGAGACAGGTCTGCTAGTCTGGTCCTTCACGCCACACGGGGCTCCAGCAAAATGATAGGGAGCAAGCAGGACCCAGTAACTTGAGAGTTCACATTGGTGCAGAAGGCCAGTAATCAATAAAAAAATTAATATTTAATAGTTTTTAAATTTAGTCACTCTGTTTTGTGATTTATTGTTTTGTTCTGTTTTATTATTTATTGAAATTATTGTTTTAATTGTCTTTTTAAATATTGTATGCCATCCTGAGATCATGTATAATAGGACGGCATACCAAAGCTTTTAATCAACAAAATGAATGAATGAATGAATGAAGCTCTGTGACTGAGTGACTCCTTTTCTCCTACTGAGTTATAATCGCCCAGTTACCCTGTACCAGAAAACTGAGCAGAGCATTGCAAATTAAAACCAATTTTTGCAAGACTGACTTTCAAGTGGAGGGAAAGGTCTCTGAAGTTTTGCTCCCTCCTTTAGCCCGGTGGGAACAAAGTGTTGTGGCTGATGGTTGTGCAGTGCTGGCCATGCTCATGCGCTGTAGTGCCACTCGAGCCAGTTTTCCATAACGAGATCACATTTCAGTTAACGACTTTCTTGTATCTTATTTTGTCTTCAGAAACAGGTTGTTTCTGTTTTCACTGCACTCGCTGCCATCATGTGCGACTGAAACACATACTGTGGCTATAGGTAAAGCAGCTTGACGGGAGAGAACAGAGGGAGATTTCGGGCAGCTCTTTTTGGCAGGCGAGAGGCATGGCCAGATGCAGGGATGGTATCGCTTACACACCAGTTCAGAACACCTCGGCGCTCACTCCAGTTCATTGGAACAAGGGCAAAAACGGGGCAGGAAGAGCCAAAGAGCATCTGCAAAGGCAGTTCAACACACTGTTGTACACAACATTAGCATGCAAGCGGACTGCATAGAGCGCCATGGTGCAACCAGTCTTGCCTGTGCTGGAGCTTTTTCACTCTTAAGCAGCTGTTTCCTCCTGTGACAATGAAACTGCAGGGCTAAGCTAACAAGTGTGGATCTACCTACCTAATGCTGCTCCACCTGCATGCAAACCCTTACTACTCGTCTGCATGCATCAACTAGACGTCCCATGGGCCAGGAAGCTTTCCCAGAGCCCTGCCCCTTTTTTGCCAACCTGTGCCACTATTACACCAGTTACAAGGGCGCCTTCTCTTGAATAAACTGCGCGTATGCCATGTGTACTTGTAGAGTACACGCGTATACCCCAAAGGAGCAATGCTGCAAGATAGTCTTCATAACCAAAACTCGGTGAAGTGAGAAAGTTAGTCTGGGGCAATAACATTTCAGAGTCTAACAAGGGACTCACAACTGAATATTGCTCCATACAACAAAATCACCATGCACACAGGAGGAGGAATGCCAGAGAGAATTCTTCCATCCCAGTTTTTTCTCTAACTTACTATGGTTGTTTGATCCATTGGGGTGGGGGTCAGAGTATTCAGGCATGAACTCCTGTCTACAAATATGAAATATTCCAGCCCAGACACACCTCAGTGAGAGAACTTGGAGGAAAACGAACATACCAAGAGTGCCAGAACCTTGGCTTCCATGCACGTATACAGCCTGCATAGTTATACACTGATCTTGCATGTTGAGCCGCCTTGGCTAAGCGGAAAGGCAGGGGCCTGCAGCTGGAGGGGTGGCCTCAGTGGAAGAAGAACGGGGTTGGACTCAATGGCCTTCCAGACCCCTTCCAGCTCTACTATGATTGCATTCTATATATTTTCCACTTTGGGAAACTGATACACGCAAACCAAAGAGGTAACATAAGCCCCAGACTAGAATCTGTTGCCTGATACTTTAGTTCTGCTCCGTTCCTTATATTCAAAGCACATGCTTTATGTGTGTTCCATGGGCTTTTAAAACGCTCATTGTGTCACCCAAATCTGGTGACAGCACGCAATGCCCCTGTGTGTCCGCTTCTTCTGAGGACAGGTAGTGGCTTCTGCAGCTTTTTTAGAGAAGGCGGAAAGCAGTCCAGCAATGGCATTGATCAGAGCTGCTCTTTCCTGTGCCACCAGAATAAAAGGGGACTTCCTTGTCCTCATAAAACGAATACTTCAAAAATACCTGATGAATAATCAACCTATCCACAAATGCCCATCCCTAAGACGGACCTTTTCCCCCAGACTTTACTGCTCCAGGTCCCTGAGAAGGCCTTAACCCTAACCTTGAGTGGGCGTGAACCGTGGCCCATCAAGAGGCAGACATAAGTTCTGCTAGCACTGATGTTCTAGTCGCTCCATCCCAGTCTGGGCCTCTATAACCCTTATTTTTGTTTTGTTTTTTGAAACTGTTGAAAATATTTAATGCAGTTTTTGGACTGGGAAGTACACATGTTTAATGGCTAGGGAGTAAATGGAGGAGAATGCTGCACGAATTTAAGTGCTGTGATGTAAACTGAGGGGAAATTTCTGCAGCTGCAGAAAGGGAATCATTGCTTACTCTGCTTTGCATCTGCCGCTGACAGCCAAAACATACAAGAAAATCGACCAGGCAAAATTACACATAGCAGGCAGCCTTAAGAATGAACTTGCAAAAACAAGCCAAAACAACTGAAAGGCTATGAAAATATTTGTATAATTTCCTGGGAGTTTTTTTTTAAGGGTGCTGAACCAGTGACGGTCATTCCAAAATGCTGCTTGGGCACTGGTGGAGGGGCTCTCATTGGGCGCAAGAAGGACAACATTGACAAGGATGGCAGGGGGTTTTGCCCCTCTTGCTAAGTAGCTTGCGAACCAGCGCCCAGAGACACACAGGAGCTGGTCTCCTAGGGGCGGCAACAATCCAATGTGGATTGAACCACCCCTAGAATAAGCCACGGTTCCTCAGGTGGGCTCGCTGTGAAAATATCCTCTGTGAAGTGGTGTGTGCGAAGTGGTCTGCGTTTGGACAATGTGGCAATCTACCTGTGATGTGTCATGCGTTGTGCAAACCAGGTCACAGAACACAGCCCTCTGAAAGCTTCAGCAACTTGACTTTTACTGTCATGACTGGAGAGATAAAAATGGAGAATAAGCAAGCACACGGTTGTGATGGGGGTGGGGGAGAAAAACCGCTGGGGGTTTGAGCACATCACCCTTGACCGGAGCAGCATGATGCAATGGAGAGTATTTCCCTAGTCAGCAAGATGTACCGAGATCACAGGATTTGGCTCCTCAGCCTGGAATGTGGGATTATTTCAACCGTCATCTGAGTATGACAGGTATTATCTTCTAGAGTTCAAAATGCCAGATTCAACCTCATTTAACTGTTCACTCACAGCAGCTAGCCTTGGCACATAAGCAATCAGAAAGCCACACACGACAAATGTTGCAGCGTTAGGTTGGTCGGCAGCCCCTTCATTCTTGAACCACTGCCTGGTTTTGCCAACAGACCTCAATTTACATCTTAAGCTTGAAAACCTCGTATGGACAAACGTCGCATCTGCAAGACCGGCTCAAAAGCAATGCATCTGTTTACAAAAATGAACTTTGGAAGGAACAGGTTGGCAGTTCAGAACACAATGTATCCGTTCATGTAAATAATGCCTCATTTTACCAGTGTAACAATGACTCATTCAGGAGCATTAGAAAGCCATTCTGCATTAAATGGAAGTGCCGCATTTTCAAGATATTTTCCAGAATAAATGTTAGTTTTGCAGTAGGGCCAGCCAGGATGCAAAGTTTGCTTAAGATGCAAATTTCACTTTTGCAAACAGAAGTGAGAATGAGAGAACCATGTTGAAATATCCCCTTCAAAGTAACAACTCAGCACTCAGCCTGAGATCAGTGCCTCCTGAAGAGGCCTGTAAATTAACAGGCATCATATGATTTGTTAATGCAATTTTTTGTCTTATCAGTCCATCTGGATGGGACCTAAAGACAGAATAGCAAGTGATGTCTGGCATCTGAGAAGAAAACAGGAACCAATACGCCCTTTTTAAAAAAGAAAGCACAACACAAACACGCTCATCTGGCAGCCTTCATCCTCCGAAAAACTTGAAAGCAATATGAATTTCACGCATCTATAATAAGCAGTCTTCCAACCCGTGGCATATTTCTGTTCGGGCCTTGCTGAATAACTAGCTCCCAACCTCACCATCCAATGGTTTTGCTCCTTGAATAAATTTGGCTTCTCTAAAATGAACACACCAGAACAATGGAGTAACCCGGACCACTGCAGGATGAAAAAGACTCAGCAACGCACTTGTCCACAGACCCATCAAATGTCTTCAACCAGACATTTCTACTCCACACATCGTCAAGGGCAGGACCTCCCACCAATGCTTTTGCACACTGCGAGCCTGTAGAAGGCAACTCTTTAGCATATGTACAGCACACATCATCTTGAGGAGTTTTCTGCTGCCCCCTTCTGCCTGGGGTACGGGGACTGGGCAACCCTTTCCAGCTTCCACCCGTTACTCTGCAGTCCTACCCGGAACGCCTGCTGTACACCAGGCATCAGCATGATACAGCCTGCCCCAACTGCATTTGGCAGCCTGGTAGGAACTACGAGCTAAGCCAGCTCCCCTGTGCTTGCCGTTTCATTTTCCAACTGCCCGCTGCTAGTTCTAGGGCTGCCAATATGAGAGAATTAATAACAATTGGTACAGACATTTCAATACTGCCCTACACTCCCCTCCGCTCTCTTCCATTTAGAGGTAGGCCATGAGCAGAGGCAGAGCTGCAATCCTTCTGTTCTTTCTTCCCTGACCCATCTTCCTCTTAAGGAAAGGGCAGGGTGGGACCAAGCCAGAATGTTTTTTCTTCCTCCAATTCATATGAATTCTGGGAGCAGGGAGCGAAATTTCTCGAATCGAAAGTTGGTGCTGAGATAGCCATCGCTTCAATAGATACCATGCAGCTTATTACTGGGACATTAAGCCGCAAGAAACTATTTGTCCGCAGAGCAGGCTGGAAGCGGGCATGTGGACTGCTGAATCATTCATCTGGGACTATCCCAGCCAACATCAAAACACTCCCATGACTGTTTAGCAATCAACACGAAGCGATGGTGCACGTATCTTCAGCCTCCTCTTTAAAAGAAAGGCAATGTCTTCCTTCTGCCAGTATAGAGACAAGAAATGAAGCAGCTGCAGGAACAGAAGTTCCCTTCCCCCTGCCTTGATGGCGCAACTTTCTTGCTGCTACAATCCAAATTACATGGGTGATTCAAGCACCGATGTTTTCAAGAGGGACAAGAGTGGTCACACTGCTCCTTCAGCACAAAGGACTGTTTTTGCAGTCTTCCCAATATCAGAGAACAAAAGAGGAGGGAAGCAGGACCAGCAGGGAATGTAACATGGTTCCCAAACCCCAGACGCTGTTTAGATTTGTCCTAGGTCTGTGGGGAACATGGTATCAAGATTGTCCAGCCCCAGAACAAGCAGAGAATAGCATGCCCAGAATCACATTGAGCTCATGTCAGGTGTGCAAGGCTTGTAGCAACCTCCCCCAACCTGTTGTCTTTACTTATATTCCATTTTCCCCGTTCTGGAACTCAGGGTGGCTACACGCAGTTCCCAGGTGGGCCCATCTCCAAGCTCAGGCCAGCCCTAGCTCTGCTTAACTGCCACATGGTGGACACCTTACGTGCCTTCAGACCACTGGGGTGTGTTGGGCAACAATTTCCATCATCCACGCGGAAATTGTAGCTCAACGCATTCCGAAAACATGAAGGTTGCACGAAAAGGGAAAAAGAGAAAGTAATGTGTCCAATGGCTAGTTTGAATTTAGAATTGGATTTTCAGACTGTGTCGTTAGCCCTTCCTGAACGTGGGGCATGGGGCAAAAAATAAAAAAAAAATAAAAGAAATGCTGAAGGCAAATGGAAACAATGAGTGCGAAAAAGATTGTGTTTTACCATTTTTCTTCTCCCCATTTCCATATTCTCCTTGTGCTATTTGATACTGATTTCCTGTAGAGTAATGCTCTCAGGTATTTTCTGCTGTAACATGTGGGCTGTATGGAAGAAATGTACCACAAAACATACTCGATCAGAGTTGTTGGGAAATTAACGGCCAGGGTGGTCCGCTGTAGCATGGCAGCGAGCAACTGAACCACAGCTTCCTGGAAATGAGCCCAGGAACCACTGGGAAAATACGTGCAGAAAAGCTCCACCAACTTGCATTGATGTTCAAACTTTCGTCCTGATACTTGGCACTTCAAGGTGGCAATGGACTTGTTTTGAAGTGTGTGTGTTTAATGAGCCAGCAGTGCCTACAACAGAAGCAGACCAGCTAAGAGGGAAAATATGCAGGGTCAGCAAAAGACCAGCGTCATAGTTGGCTGGAAGAGCAGCAGCATTCCCTTTGAAACAAAGACAGACAAGTTAGAGACACAGCTAAGGACTCAACCTCTTCCCTCCGCCGTCACTCAGTGCCACTTGATAGACTTTTTTTTTTTAATGTTTTTGCCCTGACCTTGTTTCTTCCCTGCCTTGGAATAGGGTCTTGCTTAATTTCCCAGTGAACTTCAGAGGCACACAGAGGGGCACTGCAGAGCGCAAGAGGTGAGGGATGACCCCCGCCAACCTCTTAAATTCAAGGAAGGAAACAGGAGCTCATCTTCCGCATGAGGCAGGGAAGGGATCCCACTGAGCCAGCAGTTCTGTTGACCTCGGTGTATGGACTCACCCAGCCAAGTTTACTGTTCAAAGGCACTGGGTCTGGTTGTTAGCACTTCATTAGAAAGCACTTCCATTTTTTGAAGTTTTGAAACAGAAAATCCATATGTAGACCTTTTAGATAACATAGAACCATGCCTTAATTTGCCAACCTTATCTTCCCTTTAAGAAAGCCCAAGTCCTTCTGCTTGGAACGAAATCTAAAGATATAATTCCAAACATGGTCATAGTTTTTCTTACTGTTAATGCAAGTCTGAGAGCCAGTCAGTGCAATGGTTAACGCTGGCCCAGGATCAAAGAGATCCGGGTTCTAGTCCCCGCAAAGAACACAGAGTTACTTTGGACCAGCCACAGACTTTCAGCTTAGCCTACCTCACAGGGAAGTTGTCGTGAGGATAAAATAGAAAGAAGGATTATGTAAGCTTCCTTGAATTTCTTGGAAGAAAAGGTTTTATTTATTTATTTATAACATTTTTATGCTGCACCCATCGCAGAAGCCTTGGGGTGGCTTACAAAGAGAATAAATAAACAAAGAATAGAATAACATTAAAAATTTGGAGTATCTCAGCCATAATTTAAAACCACTAAATAAAACAACTGATTAACAATTAAAATATCGTTTAAATAAAAAGGTCTTGGCCTGGAGCCGTAAAACAAATAACAATGGCGCCAGGTGGACCTCTCTGGGGAGCGCATTCCATGGGGGGGGGGCGCCACCGCAGTTGTCTATAAATATAAAAAAAATAGATAAAATGAATAAGCATCCATTTGCTGACAATGTCACATAGGTAGCTCAATCACTGAGCATCCCTGATTAGGGCTTTTCCCCAGAAAACTATCGAAAGGGCAAGCTGCAAAAATGACTTGGAACCAATCCAAGTGCACTGGGGAGTGTCAATGCACTCAGGTTTAAGGCAACCCAGTAGGGGAGGCCTCTTCAGGCTTATACAGCTGTGGATCGCTTCCCCATTTTGGCACAGTTCACTGCAAGACCAAGCTAACGTGTGCTTGAGCTTCAAGAACGGGCAATATCAAATCTGCTGTAGTCACAGCATCAAATACAGCATGGCTGTGGATCTCTGCCCCAAGGCAAGAGAGAGAGCCACAACCTCACAAAGTGTGTCAGTGCCTGGGGTTGCAAGATATGGGAACCCATCATGGGTGACAGACCATGGTTGGCTGCCACATTATGCTCACTGTGACTGTTCATGGGCAACAAGCCATTAGAAGGATCCATGGCTTGTTGGGGTTGCTGGACCCATGATGGGGTTGATCGCCTGGGTTCACACAAAATGTGGGTTGTGGGAAGCAAGAGTGGCAAAAAGCACTTGTTTCTTTTTGCTGAGCTAATCTAGGCCACTGTCAGTGCCAGCTGCCCCTCCAAAGCTGACACATCATGAAGCCTTTTATGCTTGCTACCACTTTATCTCCTCTTTTCCCCCAGAGATTGTAAAGTGATCGCTGATTTGACAGCCATGTCAAAGTGCCCAAGCAGTACAGTGGAGATGCTGTTACTGGTTTTTTGCCCCTTTGGGGAAAAAAAGTACAAATTGTGCATTTTTGGACCTTCAATTTTTTTATTGTGACTTGAAGAAGGATGAAGAAGGATGAAGAAGGATGCATGGTTCCAAACTGGCAAACTTCCCATAGGAGGTTTCTACTGTCAAAGTGCACTGGCATTGACCCAGAAAGGCCACAAACAACTTTTACATTTCTGCTTTTTCCTGACAGCTGTCAAAAGACAAGCTGTCAGGAGAAATCAAAGCTGTTAATGATCTGTGTTTGTGCAACGGGGCTGGCCACTCAACATGGCAAGAACTTAAAGATGGCATGATTTTTCTGATTGTACGAAGCTCTATTTGCATTGGCTGAGCTGTCCATACTCTCAACAGATGCGAGACAAGCAGAAATGCCTAGAGTGGAATAAGATTGGGGTGGGACCCAGATACTGGTAAATTAAGAAAGGTAGTTTTAGGACTATTACAGGAGGACCTAAACAGAAAAAAGAACAGGCTGGAGGGATGAACTTGAGAGGGGATGGTACACTGGAAAAGGATGAAGATGCCAGCACACAGCCAGCAGCTGCAGGTGTAAAGACAGCCAAAGATCACTTCATTTGAAATGACCTTCCAACCCTTTGACGGTAGGCCTTGAATAGGAAAGCAGAAGAGTGTGCAAACTGGTAAGCCTCCAGGTAAGTCATTATTCCATATTTAATTACAGAGCAAGCAACTACTATGACATAACTAATCTAGCATTTAAATTGCCATTTAATCCAGAAAATGCACCTTGAGGGTGGCTGCCGTATTCCCGCTGTTTCAGCAGAGCCTGGACTGGTCTCACCAAACGCCTGTGCTGGCTTTCTTCATAGCAGGAGCTGCTGGATTAGGTTAGAGGATTTAGCCATTGATGCTTGTTGACCAGAAGTGTTAACCACCAGGGAGCTCTGAATGGCACCAGAGAATATGATCTAAGATTAGTGTTTGTGTAAACTATGGAACAAGTTAACTTGCCTGAATGTGCAGTATAATTCCACTTGGCAGGGGCTGCTCTGCATCATTTGCGTTCCAAAGAGTGCCAAGCACACTGCAGACACTAAAATCTTAATTAGCTTCAGTATGTACAAAAGCAAACCAAATAGGCACTATTTTTGCATTCTTTCCCACCAGCATCCATGAGTCCTATGTCACGGCCAATTGCAGCCCTTCGTTTTCCAGATTACTTTGAACCAATTGACACGTTCAGCAAAAGCACGTGGTAGAGATCTCTCTTCTGACTGCACCATTTAAGAAAAGAAAAATGCAGTTTGGGAGCTGTGGCCCTCCAGACGTTTTAACCCATCTGATTTAAGACTATCGGTAGGGAACTTCTGGTTTGACAGTATCATGTAAAAACCAAAGGCCAGAAGATGGGCACACCAACTAGAAAGGCTAAGTTTAAGCCTCTTCACAACAATCTAGTTTTCTACAGGAAGGTAGTTTTTATGCCAAGAAGGAACCTGATCCATGCCCATCAGTAATCACTTATTTGCAGGAAACAAAGCAACACAGTTAGATGCTAAACAAATGACATTTTGTTCAACAAAGTCATTTCGTGTAGATAAGTCCAGAACAGATAAAACTGGAAGGCAAACAGAGTTATTATATTACACTTATTTCAATTAAATTACACATGTGAAAGTGGGTACTAGATGTATGAACTACCAGGAATGAGAACGTGAGTAACACCAACCCTTATTCAAAATGGGTCTCGCAACCAGAGATTTTCAAGAAACCTTGCCAAAGTTCTACCTTCTATGAAAACGCTGTACTGGCTGGTTTCTGAAGTTGGCCAAACTGGATGCCGGGGGGGGGGGGGCACTTCCATTACTGCCAATGCAGAGATTTTTCTCAGAACCACAGCAAGGGAAGGAAGGGTTAAATTAACCCCTATCAGCAGCTCCTTCTGTTTTTTGCATTTTTGGAAGCCTGCATATGCAATGCAATCTGGGTCAAGTTTACATTGGGCCAGATAAGTTTAATTGAAAAATGGTCCCAATAATAATAAGAGGGAGCCTGCCATCATATAGTTAAAGACTATGCTGGTTAATTAACTGGAGATTTAGCATTGCTAAACTCTACACTAGGAAAAAATGGAACTCTTCACTCTCTGAAGCTTTGAGTTCTTTCTGCACAGTCTTGCTCTTTAAACACCAACAGACCATGCTCAAAGTGCTACCGAATCTGCTACAGAACCATCAGATTTAGGTTAAAGATGCCACAAGGATGCACAGCAGTAGATGATCCCGGCGTTTACATCCTTTTCATACCCAGAAGATACTTTGGAGAGGTACAACTGCCAAGGGTGGGCATCTTGCTTGCCTGCTCCAATGCAATGCCTTGTTAATTCCCTGAACTTTCACTGGATTGGTTTAAGAAAGCAGGACGGAATTTCAAATATGCAAAGCCTTGTCGCATATGATGTGGGAAGAAGCGCATGCAACAAGACAAGCAATCCAAGGGGAATGCAGTTAGGCTTGTTCCAATCTGATCAGCCTTCCCTGCAAAATACATGTGACGGTTTCCAAAGAAGCGACACACACTGGAGCGGTGATCAAGCCGCAGCAGGCTGGCTTAGGCAAATCGCCGCCACCCTGAAAACAGTTTCAATGGCCAGAACACTGCAAATGTTGTGTGGCGAAAGCTGTGCTCCTTTACAACAGGCATCCCTCGACAACTAGTCTCTCCACAGTGTAACCAAGCATGATTAGGCCGATTAACGAGTGGACCAGAGTTTGTCAGAACCACCGCCATCAGGAACCTATTCCAAGGCAACCCATCCTGCCAAAATCCCCATGGTCTACTTGGTTGTCGGCACTGAATGAAATCGCTGCATGATTCTCACGTTCCATGAAGCACCAGGCTAACAGAAGCAGCACAGGACAGATTCTTACGTAGTGTCTTTGACATTTCTACATTATGTAGTGTTACAACCTGGAAGTGAAATGGATTGTATTGGCATTGCTACTCTTGATGTACGCCAGATGCTTTGTGCTCATGGAGTGCTGAGTATTTTTATTGGGGAAAATCATTAAGTAGAAACCAACAAACAAACAAACAGGCACTCTTGGTTGCATTAAGCATTCACTCCCTTAGCTGTGACATACCTAATTGAACCCTGGTGGAACACACTGCCTCCAAAAGTCACAAATTGTAAGGAATTGAATGGAAGCTACCTGTTCCAGTGTCACATGCTCTCAGATTAAGTACACCTACAGCTGCCTCTGCAAAGCTCCAGAGTGTGTTGGAGAGCATATTTAAACAGCATAATAAAGACCCTGAAGCTATCAAAACAACTTCGGGGTACAGTTGTGCAGAAACATCTCTTGAATTATTACAAAATAAATTCCAGAGTATGAACATTCCCTGAAGTGCCATTAGATCCGCTATTACAAAACTGGGAAGAATACGGCTCAACCATTTCTCCATCCAGAGAAGGCTGTCCAAAACTCCATGACTTTATAAGGATGGCATTAGCTGGAGAAGCATCCAGCTGAAGGACCTGGAGAGATCCTTATCTTTATTTTTTTTATTTTGAAAGCAAAACAACTATAATAAACAGAGCAAGCTGAAATAGACAAAATTGCTAAGGGAATCAATGCAGATCCAATCAGTACAACCAGCCCTCCGAATCTATCCATCAACACTCTGCATCAATGTAACACAAAAGAAATCCTTCATCTATACAACAGATCCTTCAACCACTTCAGATCTTCCACAGCTTTCCTTTCTTTTTTGAACACCTCAGATCCGCTTATCCTGCTGCACATTCCTCTAACTATCTTCTAAACAGCAGACTCCACCAATCCATTTCTCCATTCTTCACTTGTTGAAGGCTCTGGTGATCTCCATCCAGAACCACCTGCAATGC